ACCCCACCAAGGAGTGCTTCCTCTCTCTCCCCCCACACTGTCGTTTTCTCTCTCTTTCTCTCTCTCACTGTCTCTCTCTCTCTCAGACTGTCTCTCTCTCTCTCTCTCTCTCTCTCTCTCTCATCTATGATCTATTTCTGTCTTTCCCTTTCTGACAAGTGGGCATGATCTCTGATTGAAAGAAAATCAGTGCAGTGAAAATGGACCGATATTTTGGATATAAGATTCCCCCTAATTCTGAACTAATTTCTATTTATTTTACTTTTATTTTTTTGGAAAGATATCAGAAAGCAAAATTGCAGACTTAAAATTCTAAGTTTAGAATTTTGTAGTTGTATAATATATCTCTTTTGTTGGACTAAATAAATAAAAAAGACAAGGACTTAGTAATCCACAATACAGTATAGAAACTGTTAACAGGAGGGGGAAAAGAATAGAAAATGAAAGGGAAGAGTTAGAGTGGCACATCAGACATAGAGATGGTTCATTCCAGAATTTCCATTTAGAAACCAGGCATAATAGCACAACCATACCCAATTTATAGATAGTGATTTTGATTGAAGAAGAGTGGAAAGAGAACTACAGACAACTAGATCAAGCAGGTGAGGGACAGGCCTTCTCTTAAAGACAGCACTGAGGCACTGCGGGCAGTAAGGACATGACTTCCACAGCTGCTGAAGAAGCAGCCAAGACTATTCCTAAGGCCCACTTTGCAGGACCTTGTCAACATCTACTGCTTCCCATTCCATCTGCTGGATAACCTGGAGAGTCATTTGAATACTTCCTGGTAGGGGCCAGGAAAGAACTGACAGAATCTATCAGATTTCCTTGTTTCTAAGCATAAGTAACATTAACTAATTAGACACAAGTTTTATAATAATCTATCTCTAATCTTAAAAGATGTTCTGGGACCAGTGGATAGCGTAATGTTTAAGTCGCTGGACTCCCACATAGATGACCACAGTTCGAGTCCCAGACCCAGTGGCTTATAAGTCACACTGGGCATGTGTGCGTGTGGGCTCAAAATTCCAAGAGGAAAATAGAGGAGAAAGATTGCAGTATGGTCATCTCTCCTGGGTCATCGCTTTCTGTCTCTCTTTCTGTCTCTGTTTCTACAGCAAGTGCCCTAGAGCAAAAATCCCTCTCTCTAAAAAAAGATGTCTCTATAGGGCTAGATGTAAACATAGCCTTAAAGGGCAACCTTGGCTCCCTGGATGCTTATAAAAGTTTCTCCATGGTGAGTCCAGATTTTTAGCTGCTCTCCAGTGTGGTTTCTATAAAGTGGGGGTATTGTTAGTTTTATAGATAGGTAGATAGATATAGATTGATAGAGATATATACATTTAAGGAGATAGATACATTTAAAATAGTCAAATGCATTCCTGAGCTGAGGAGTGACTCCACTCACTGAGAAACACATGCTATTGATTTCCAGCCACTGTCCCCATTCTCCAGCAGTGAAGCCTAATGTTATGAGATAAAATATTTTCCACTAAATTTGGTAGGCTTGAATAAAACTACATAATATGCTTCCATCAAAGGGAATGTATATCATTCTTCCAAGCAAAATCAATTCACAATTGTGACAGATGATGTTTTACAAATTTAGCTGCAATTCAATGGTACTTTGATGTCTTTGAAATAATCCACATAAGGAGTGATTCTCTATCTTAAAATGTGTTCTACTTTCAGTTTGGTACTTTATAACAGAAATACTCCAGAGGGCCCCTGCTTCCTGCAGTTTTTAGTTTGCAGACTACATTGTATCATAAATAAAAATCTACTTCTTTTAAAAAAAAATCTTATTTTAGAAGAATAGAATTTTTTTCATTTTTATGTTAGAGTAAAAGTTGTTCTTCCTTTGATACTTTGTATATATCATACATGTAATATATATAATATCGTATATCTTAATTGACAATTAGTTCTGTTTAAAAAAATATATTGATTGCATCTTGATTTTTTTTTTAATTTCTAAAGACTAAAGAGACATTCCAAACACTGATTTCTTCAAGAATTTCTGGGAAATAGTCTGAGTCCATTATAAACGTAAAGGAAAAGAGACAGAAAAATAAGCTAGAATCAAGAGCATCCAGATCTTGAAGCTCTGCTCTCCTCTGAGAAATGGCTATCTAAACACCCACCCAATACCAGCTCAGAGGCAGATGTAGCTGTACTATAGTGACAGCTTTAAAATCTTTGACCTCTGATGGTTCTCTGAAAAATAAAATACTGTGCAATGAATTTTTTATAAGTATAAATGCATTTCATTTAAATAATTGTCCTTTACATACAAGACTGTCCTATTCTTTATAAAACTTGACAGTTGGGGGAACAACAGATGGCTTAATGGTTTTATCACTGGACTCCCACATAGCCGACCGCAGTTTGAGTACTGGACCCGATGGTTTAAAATTCACGTCAGGCGCGTGTGCGTGCGTGAGTGCCTAAAATCCTGAGAGGAGAATGGAGGAGAAGGGATTACAGCATGGCCCTCCCTGCTGGGGGGTGATATCTTATCTTGCTTTGTCTCTCTGGTAAGGTCACATGTCCTATAGCAAAAGTCTTTCAAAAAAAAAAAAAGGATAATGAATATAATAAAACATGATAGTTGGTAGTGGGATGGTTGTTTTTTTTTTTGTTTTTTTTTTTGAGAAGTTTTTTTGCTATAGTGTACGTGTGCTCGCCAGACAGAGAGAGACAGAAAGTAAGAAATCCCCCCCCGCAGGGGGATGGCCACGCTGCAGTCCCTTCTCCTCCATTCTCCTCTTGGGATCTTAGGCATACACACAAACGCGCCTGGCGTGAGTTTTAAGCTACCGGGTCCGGGAGGTGAACTGCAGTCGACTACATGGGAGTCCATCGACATAGCCATTACACTACCTGCTGGTCCCGGTTGTTTTTTTTAATATCCACATTTGGAAAAAAAAAAAAAAGTTGCCTATCAGGTCCAGCAGGTGGCATGGTGCTGGACTCCCACATGGCCTGGACCTGGACCTGGTGGCTTGCTCTCTCACTTTCCTTCTCTCATTCTCTCTCTCTCTCTCACTCACACACACACACACACACACAAACTCTCTCTCTCTCTGTACAAATTAAAATAAATAAAAGTTAAATAAAATAATTCTTTAAAAAAAGTTGCCTGTCTATCTGTTAGTCCCTTTTTTCCCATTTTTTTCACCTTTGGAAACATGGTAAATGCAGAATATCTAGAATACCAATCATACTATGTAAAATATTCATGGGAGACTTCGGGGAATTTCCTTTTCATCAAGCCCTGAGCTTAAAGAGAGGCACAATTCTTGGAGGATACAGGGGGCATGGAAAATGGTGTTAGACACTGGAGACAGTGTGGGAGGAGAGCAGAAGGGGAAGAGTATAAAAAAAAATTAAGGAGAAAAATAGAGAGGCAAGATGTAATGGGACACAGAAATGGATGATTATCTGTTGATGATAATCCTCAACTGGAGTTATGTGAAGCATATTCATGTTGGGTAAATTCACTTTATAAGCTAAGTGACGTATAGTGATTGAATATATAAAATAAATTAAAATTAAACTAAAGTACATCTGAAAAGCACAAAAAAAAAAAAAAAAGAAGCACAACCCATTACCTTTTTCTTTCTCTCTCTCTCTTTTTTTCTTTTTTTTTAAGAAAATTTAGTGGGGCCAGCAGTTAGCGTAATGGCTATGTCGCTGGAGTCCCATGTTGTCGACCACGGTTCGAGTCCCGGACCCGGTGGCTTAAACTCATGCCGGGTGCGTGTGCATGCG